CCCCCCCCCCCCCCAAAAAAAGCCACTTCCTCTTTTGTCTGATTTCATGGCGATCGGGAGAGAGGGAACACTACGGACGCAAGCACACTGTTTCAACACTCTTGAAAGAGTTTATTCAGGGTAAATAATTGGCGATTTTTTTTGTGCAAGATTTGGTCACTGGGTTACAAAGTAGTTCCGCTTGAATTCGGCCAAGTGGTTGATTCATCTTTCCATGTAGAACTAATTTGTTCAGATTCTGAGTCAGATATTTCACATTGTAGCGCCACTCGCTGATAACAAATCGGACGAAATGGGCTCCCCCTTTGCTTCTCCCCCCCACCCCCACCACAGCGGCACACTGGTTAACGGCGCTGGTTAGCTAATGTTAGCAATGCTGCAAACGCCACATATGTGAAGCTGTGGGAATTGTTTGGTTTGGCACACTTTACAAGTTAGTGGCAACTAAATAACACCAATTGGTGTGTATGTTCGGAAGTTATTAAGAATTTATAGTTTCATTTAACATTTAGTGACTTAAAAGTCCTCAGATGCTTGTGTTTGGGTTAGCTAGTCAACATCGGATAGCTAGCTCTTGTGCTGTGTATTTTTAGTTAGCGTTAGCTTAGATCGTCAGAAGTTAGTGTTAGCTAAACTACGTCAGAATGAATTGACTAAGTATGATATATCTGTTACCCAACATGCACAAATTAACTAACATTTGCATAGAAGAGACAGATGTCCACCATTCATTGCAAATACCGCAGTTATACTCGATGACCAACGTTAGCACAGAAAATGGCTAGCTAACACTTGCTAGTTAACGGTAACTTTTATGCTAATGAGCGGCTCTTTAACATCGATATTTCCACCATTAGGTTTTCATTAAAGTTAGTCACTTGTATTATCAGCTAACGTTAACTGGTATCATCATTGTTTTAACTGTGTGTATGAGCAATAGTGTTTTTGCAAGCTAAAGTAAACTTAACCACTAAGTTGTGGAATGGTAAACGGTAAAAACAAAGTGATGTAGTCTCAACCTGGGTGAACCCGTTGTGAACGAGTTATGAGCACAAATTAGCTGTAATCAAAACGAGTTTGTCACCAGGGGATGCACACCACACAAAATTTTGACTACTCTATATGACGTCTTGAGAGCTTGGTAACACAGAGTTATTGTCTTCTTAACAAGCCATTTGCTACGTTAGGATCTGTATGACATTGTGTCTATAACCAGTATACCTTTTCTTTGTTTACAGTGTAAACTACTTTGTCAGCCTGAGTGGCTCAACCTGAGTTGCACAAGGAGCCTTGCTCTGCTGGTGAGTGGCTATAGTTTGTAACTGTTGAATTAAATAAATAAATAAATGCTATAATGAATGTCTCTGGGTTTAATTTGATGAATCTTGTATGTTTTTCAAAACTGAGTGCTTAGAGTTTACAAATTTCCAGTCTTTGTTATCATGTCCTACTACATTTTCATGTCAGGTTTAAGCTGGAGAGCTTCTGCAAAATCAAAAATATGGTCAATAGTAATTATGTACTGAGACGTTTTTTATATTTTTTCTCTACTGTTTACTTTTGTACAGAATGTGAACAAATTCAGGTAGTTGCACAAGAATACGACTGCATACTTTTTTTTTTTTAACTGACTCTTTTCCTTATTTCTGTGCAGGTGAAACTAAGGGGACATACTTAAGGGAGCTTCACAGCACTTGGATCTGTTCTGATCTGTCCCAGTTTTAGACTACTTGGTCTATGGCTCTGTTGGACAAGCACAAACAGGTCAAGAGGCAGAGACTTGACCGAATTTGTGAGGGTGAGATTTCATAAATGCTCATACATGAAGTAAATATAAATATGTAGCATAATGTGTTTATGGGATATATTTTGTTACTTAAAAATATTATACCCCAAGAGATGTGTACTTTTTGCTGTGTCCACATGTGAAAACCACAACAGTTTTAGATGCAGTCTATAACCGTGTAGGCAGACCATAGTGCTGACAGCTCTTGCTAGTTTGTGTATTCTTAGAATCAGATGCTGATGTGTCCTTTTGTTTTGTATGTTTGTATAAATCTGCTTTTTCATGGTTACTTTTAATATATTATTCCTGTGTTCTAGTAATGAAAGTATTTATTTTGTTATAATGTAGTTATTTTATTATAATAATGTGGTAGGTAATACAATGCTCTTAATTATCAGTGACTTGTTAAAATACAGACCCTGACTGTATTTCTTACCTCCTCCCAGGGCATTTGAGAGTGGAGGAGTTTCTGTTAAAATGATATGTACAAATGGAAACTTTGAAATTTAGTTCATTTTGAAGTTAATTAAACCTTTTTATGCGGTTGTAAGTATATTCAGGTATTGCCAGTACAGTGGAGATTTCTAGAAGAGATAGCACTTTGAGTTGGACTGGAGTGGAGAGTGTAGAACACTGATGAGTGTAGAACAGATGATGGAGATAAGACATAATGGTGCACTAAAATGGAGGGAACCCTGTGGGAGTGTCTCTAGAGACGGGTGAGAGGGAGAGGACAAGGTGAAGGGTCGCGACCGCAACTACGGGGAAAAGGGCCAGCTGTTTCTTTAAAAAACGACAACAGCCAAACCGCCCTGGTCTCAGCCTCGGCTATGCTAATGATGTTAGTGCTGGTTGGCTGGCCCTCAATGTAGCCGCCTGTGATTGGAGGCTGGGTGTGGGTGACAGGCTGGGCGTGGATGACAGCTGGGATCCAGCCAGCCAAGAGCAAGCTGACAGAGAGGGAGGGAGAAAAAAAGAGCTGTAGAGGGAGAGCAAAGCCAGAGAGAGAGAGAGAGAGAGAGAGAGAGAGAGAGGAAGACAGGCTGACAGACTTCATAATGCAAGGTTAGGCCCGGTGCTCATGTGTTTTCTATTTTGGAATACGTTTCTGAAATTTGTGAATGCGGGGACATAGCTAAGATTCGGGTGTGATGCAGTTATGTGTGTGGTTTCCCTTTTATGCTCGGTGTGTATTGGTGGTGTCGCGGGCGCTAAGAAGGAACTGAACAACCGAGTGTGTATGTGTGTCTGGGTGGAGTACCACTGCTTGCTGCATTATCATCGTTTGCTGCCCCTCCCCCCCCACCTCTTACTCCTCCAACTGCGGCCAGAGGGAGAGAGGGAGTAAGGGGAAAGAAAGGGACAGGGAGGGAGAATGAATGAATCAGTGAATGAATTGCATTGTGTCTGCAGCCATGCTTGCGCTTCGTAGGCCCCGGGTATGCTAGTGTCCTTTACTCAGATTACTCTGTGTGTAGGCCTACTTTTATATTTCCAGAACTGCTTTTTCAGAGCAGGTCTTTGTGATTAATCCCTTTGGGATTTTCTACATACCAAGAGTCAGTTTGTGCTTTGAGTGTGTAGCAGTAGGCCTGTTAGCATTCTTCAGACATCAGTACTGAATGTGAAACACGCTGCTAAGCGGAGTGCAATAGAATGTACATTTTTATGAGTACCAGGCCATATGCGTTTCTTTTTGCCTGTGTGCACCTTGGGAAATGCTGAAATGTGAGAGGAAGTGCTCAGAAATATTTGTTTTCCATCTTTGGCTACTAGCTCCCTCCTTTGCAGTCTCACCATTACCTCCTGCTATCATCCAAGTAAATGTTCTAGCTAGATACACTCCCCCACTCTGAGAGACACATACACACCTGTCATGCAGCAAGGACAAGACAGTGTGTACTGGTGCATGTGTTATTAGTCCAAGCCAGGAACTGCTGAGAAAAGAGAGAAGTCATGTAAAGACAGTAATGCAAACATTAGTTTTAATTTTCCATAATTTAACACCAATGCACTGGCAGAGATGTAACATTTATTTTTAGCACTGATTTGTTTTTTGTTGCCAGAAGGGTAAATGGCAGTGGTGCACATGGGGCATATTTTTGCATGTGTATGAAGAAAGGCAGAGAACCAGAAAAATAGGAGACAGGAGAATTTAGGTCATGACTCAGACCCCTCATGAACCCCCACCATCTCCTCTCTGAGACCCCACAGTTTTTTCCACCCCTCCCCCAGCCACCACACTGCATCACCTCTCCCCCTCCTGTCCCAGCCCCCTCCTCTATATGTGTTCACTGCTGCTACAGTAGGCAGGTCAGGTTCCCAACATTAACACTTAATCAAAAGTGCTTGGCTCATTCACCAGAATCTAAGGTCTCGGGATCTAAGCAGAATGGAGACGAACTGATGAAGAGTAGACAGCATATATTGGTTCAGTACCAAATAGACTAGGATTCTGGACACTTTCATGCCTCTTCATGGATTTATTTACACGTTGCATTTGTAACCAGAGAAGAATAATCATGTCTTTGAGGAGGAGTGAGGCAGTTAACCCTGTTAACTTTAGCCATGTGTTAAAGGGATTTTGTGTGAGAGCATAATGATGGGTATTTGAGACATGGGAAATGCAGAGTCACTAACATGCTGTGTACAACCAAGTTTGATCAACATGCTGTGTCTTTGAGTACGAGTATGATAAACATTTAATGGAAGGCGTTCATTTGCCTTGGATGTGTTTTTGGTGCCTATTAAGCTTTTTTTTCTGATTTGTTATGGTCATTTAATATTTATTTTATGTTTTACTTATGTACAACAACCAACATTATTTTTCTCCCTCTGCACTCAGGTATCCGACCCCCCATCCTAAACGGGCCAATGCACCCACGGCCCCTGGTGGCCCTGCTGGATGGGCGTGACTGCACTGTGGAAATGCCCATTCTCAAAGATGTGGCCACGGTGGCCTTCTGTGATGCCCAGTCCACACAAGAGATTCATGAGAAGGTAGGGCAGACACACACATCTTCTCTGTAATTACAGTCCCTGAGGGCAAAACACTTTAATTCTAGATTTACCCTGCAGTATGAAAGTAATTAATATCTGTGATTTACCCAAAAATATGTTCCTACGCCCTCCTCATTCTGTCCAGCAGCCTGGCAATTTATGGTTAATATTTAGTCAAGCTGTGTGGCTTTAATGTTCTTTTCCCTTGTTGAAGGGGCATATTTATATGTTTATTGTATTTTGGTGCAACGAGTATTCAAATTATTTATGATGCATTTGTCTTTTGTAGGTGCTAAATGAGGCTGTGGCCGCACTGCTGTACCACACCATCACTCTGTCCAGAGATGACTTGGAAAAGTTTAAGGGCCTACGTGTAATTGTCAGGATTGGCTCAGGCTTCGACAACGTCGATGTCAAAGCAGCTGCTGAGCTAGGCGAGCTTACCCAGAACAACATGCAAAGTTATTGCATTCTTTATAACAGATGCTGTTGTCATTGATATTTATCTCTATCTTCTCTTGTTCAATTATCTATGAAGGCATTGCAGTGTGTAACGTGCCCGCAGCCTCAGTGGAGGAGACAGCTGACACATCGCTATGTCTGATCCTCAACCTCTACAGGCGAGTCACCTGGATGCACCAGGCCCTCAGAGAGGGAACCCGTGCCTCTAGTGTGGAGCAGATCAGAGAAGTAGCTGGTGGTGCTGCTCGTATCCGGGGTGAGACGCTGGGCATTATTGGCCTGGGTAAGTAGTTAGAGGGCATTACAGACAAACATTTCAGAGGCGCATTTAATATGAGATTGTATTTGTCTTATTGAGTTGAACATAATTTATTTTGTGCTGAAGTGCTTTAGGGGATGTGTTTAATCCAGTGTGACAGTTAAATGGTCACACAAAGAGTCAGCTCTGGGACCTTTGGTATTTTTGATTTCTGTTGTAACTCCAACAAGTGCACCACTGTTTATATTTGTCTTACAGGGCGTATTGGCCAAGCGGTGGCTCTCCGAGCTAAGGCTTTTGGTTTTGGCGTTATCTTCTATGACCCATACCTGCCTGATGGTGTGGAGCGTTCACTGGGCTTGCAGCGCATGGCCACCCTGCAGGACCTGCTGATTCACTCGGACTGTGTTTCGCTACACTGCAGTCTCAATGAAAAAAATGAGCACAACCATCATCTTATTAATGACTTCACCATCAAACAGGTGTGTAGGATGCACTCTGAACATAAAAAAAACAGAGCTTGTTTCATTTTTGCTTTCTCATTTTTGGTGTATAATTAAGGTGAACTTATATTACCTTGGTTGAAATACTGTAAATAAATAGCCTGCCTTTGTTTTGCTGGATGAGATGACATATTAAACTTAAATTGCACATTGTTATTAGATTTCTCTGAATATTGTGAGCCAAGGAAACGATTCTTTCTGCAGCCTGTGAAGTCTAATATGCTGAGCCATCTAGGCCGATATTCTGCAAATTATTAGGGGGCGCTTCGTTATTACTAGCATCAGTCAACATTCTGTTTTTATAAAAAGCTTCAAATCCTGGCTCACACATTTTGTGAATGTTTGTAGAATTGTGTAATTGTCTAGACAACGTTGCCTGAACCATACATTGCTCTGATATTGTAGGACAGCCTATGTTATAGACTGGAAGAATAAAAATCGATTATATTTGGGCCAAGTTATGTCTGTGTGGATTGTTGTAGTTTGCCACAGATTGAACGTTTGAACTCGGTGTGCACAACATAATTTAATCATATCTTTGCTACCTTGATACAGATGCGCCAGGGAGCCTTCCTGGTGAACACATCAAGAGGCGGTCTGGTCGACGAAAAAGCTTTGGCTCAGGCTCTAAAAGAGGGCCGGATACGAGGGGCTGCCCTGGATGTCCATGAGACAGAACCCTTCAGGTAACCATGAATACACCAGGGCCACACTGGCCCATGTACACACAGAGATGTGCAGGATTACATAACCTCATCACTCTGCCCTGTAACAACCTTTCCCATCATAACAGTTTCTCAACAGGTCCTCTAAAGGATGCCCCCAACCTGATCTGTACCCCTCACACATCCTGGTACAGTGAGCAGGCCTCCGTGGAGGCCCGCGAGGAGGCAGCCAGGGAGGTCCGACGTGCCATAACTGGTAATACATGCACACTTTTCACTGAACAGGATCAAGTTAGTTGTTTCACCGAAACACACTGATTAGCATATGTACAGCACAAACAGGCCCTTTTTTGGAGCCAAAGCAATTACAGAATTGCACCCATGTCTAAAAGGGGCTTTAAAGTAAAGCCAGTCCCGACTGATGACATTTTATATAAGATGCTCTACAACATCACCAGTTGTACAGCAAAATAATGTTCATGTTGATCATTTAATTAATAATTGTCTATTAAATGTTATAAATTAGTGAACATTATTTCCCAGCCCAACATAACCTAAACATTTCTTATTTCTGTATGAGGCAAATACAAAGATATTCGCTTTAACATATATAACAAAAAAACCTGGACCCAGCCAGCTCACGTTCCAGCAGATTGGACTAACGCATAGTTAGTGGTTATTCTGTATTTGCTTTTGTGTATAACTTTGTTCTTGCAAATAAAATTGGACCAGAACGACGCCTTGATAGCCAAATGGTTACAGTGTGGTGCACCATATACTAGAGGTGTGATAATACACTCACGAGACAAGCAGATATACGATATCATGTTCTTGTGAATGACACCTGTGATCCATTTAAGTGATCTTCAGTGACGAAATATATGACTGCAAAAAGAATCTTTGATTCTACTCCTAGTCACACAATGCAAAACACTTTTGAAATGTTGAATCATGTTGTAATGAATGTCACTTCAGTTGCACTTTCCGAGTATGAATTAGCATGAGCCTTCACTGCTATTCGCTGTCTAATTTGGACCACAGTTAACTCACCGTAATGACACACAATGCATTTTCATGTTTTTAGCTATCAGTGCCGACCCTCTGGTGATAGAATTGGTGCTAAGGTATAGTAGGCTACATGAGCAGCATGCCAACCAAAACAAAGGAAACTCACAGGCTCGAAACATGAATGAAGCCACTCACTTGACTCCTCACAATACGGCCATATTGTACATGCCTAAAATACGGCAGGGAGTTGCGTTTTTGTTGGACTAATGTGACGGTACATCACTTTGCCATCACACTCCATCATACTGACCACTGCTGTAGTTCTGTTATGCGCTGATGTCACTAGACAGCTTTAGCCTTGACAAAAAATATCATCAGTTTTAATATTACAAGATCTTGTGGCATGAGATCTTGTCACACCCTACGCATAGACACATGCACAGTGCGTGCATGACGTCTGCAGTTTGAGTCCAGCTGCTGACATTTGTCACATTTCCCACCCTTCTCTATGAATAACTCGTGTCCTGTCTTCCTCTCCATGATCTACTTACAAATAAAAGCAAAAAGTGGGGGTGCACAAAAATAACTTAAAATAAAATGTAACCAGAAATTCATGAGTTAATCCAAAAAAGATGCTGTCATTTGTATAAACTGTTTTGCCTGTGAGCCTCTACAAAGTAGTATTGGTCTGTTTTCTCTGCTTTAGGCCGTATCCCTGACAGCTTGAAGAACTGTGTGAATAAGGAGTATCTGATGGCTGCTTCTCAGTGGCCCAGCATGGAAGCAGCCACAGTTCACCCAGAACATAATGGATCCACTTACAGGTGAGCACAATGGATCATCAGGCTGGGTTATGACACTGTGTGTGGATCTAGAGGCAGAGAATCAACTGTCATATCATTTTTTGCCTGTTTCAGATTTCCAGCAAGCCTGATTAATGTTGCAGCAGCAGGGGGTCTCCCAGGAGCTGCCCCAGGGGTTGATAGCCTCGTTTCAGGAACCCTGGCGCATGGCATCACCCCCGTCTCCCACCCCCCTCACGCTCACTCCCCGGGGCAGCCTACTAAGGCTGAGGCCGACAGAGACATCCCATCTGACCAATAGCACCCTCAGTTACTGCCAGCACATTCCGTCACCTCTGGGAACTCCCCTTCCACCTCCCAGCATCAGACACAACCCAGCCCTCCAGTACATTGACAGCACAGGTTTGACCTGACGTGGATCTACGCAGTCTTGTTCCTCAGATCACATAACCAGCCCAGAAGGGACCCATCCACTACTACCCAGAACATACTTCTCTGAATCCTAGTCCTCATCTAAACCACACGTCCCCTCCCCACTTCACTCCCCCACAATGTCAGCAATAACTGTGTTCTTAAGGATTCAGTGATTGGATTGGTTTATTTTCTTAGTTGGCTGTTGTTTTAATGCAAAATTGATCTGTTGTGGTTCTAGGTGTTAATGTTTATTTGTTTATAAAAAAGGAAAAAAAGCATTTCTGAGATGAGGCTTTACAGTCTGCTGCCTCTTTCAGTCCTCTGATTCTGACCAGTCGAGGCACAAAGTTTAGAGCCCCCTTTGTACATTAATGGCTCATGTTACTGCTCTCTTCTTCTTCTTTTTTTCATTTTTCCTCTCCCCATCTTCCACTTTTCTTGTGATGGGGAAATTGTGTACTGAAGTAAAGCAGACAGAATCACACAGTCCATCCTGTTCTCCCCACCAGGCATCTAGCCCCACCCCTGAACCTAGGTTTGTCCTTAGCTCTCCCTTGCACTGTATCAGCTTGCTCAGCATAGGGTTTCACAGTGCTGTCAGAGTGGAACTCTCTGACTGTCAGACTATATTTGATCAGCTCAACTCATAGTTTAGCTCTCAACACTGAAGAGTGATACCCAAGGTTCTTTGTCACCTTTTCTCTGCTGTGATTGTCTAGTCATCCTTGTAGTTACATATGTGTTGCCCCTCATGGATTGTTCTGTCATCAGATAATGGACTAGAGCACCTGGGCATGAACTTTATCTCATGCCAGCAGCCAGAGTGCTATGTGTGAGGTCTTTACAAATAGTGCCCACATAGTATCGAATGCAGCAGCTTGCCAGGGTCCTCGCCACCAGAGGGCAGGAGCACACAGTGCAGCTCATCTCAGTCAAACAGGTGGACAGTCCCAGGTTAGCTCTAGTGATGGAGGACATGATCACACACTGCCAACATTCAAAACACAGGATGGGTTGTCCAGGGATCGACCGCCGCCTTATTTTTTTATAAGATCTCATGGCACCCACCACCTTGCAACTTTCCCATTCTCCCCCTTTCTCCCACTGTCATGGCCCACCCTGCACATCTGCTCATGAACCAGTATGCATCCACCAATTCCTCTAAGTGCAACGGGAGACAGATTAAATTCCCTGTAGGAGCAAGGGGACAGTGTTCTTGCATGCTGGCTTTGTTACTGACAGTGGTGTGTTTGTGTGTGCGTGCGCATGTACATGCGTGCGTGTATGTGTTCCTCACCCTTGTTATAACAAGCTGTTGTCTTTCCAAAGGAATAGTCCCTAGGAGTAACTCTTTAACGCTGTTGCCCTGGTCTCAAGGGAGCACCTTTCTAGTACCTCAGTAACAGATATTGAATGTACCGTGCATACCCTTTTATTTTTTGTACAGATTTTCTAGATACTTCTTTACAGAAGAGTTGTACAATTGTACCAGTGATGATACACTTTTTAAAAAGTTTGCCCCATGAAATAAATTGACAAAATCTCTATAGGTTCGCTATAGGTCACTGAATACTCAGGCTTCAAAACCAATGGGTATCCCTTTGCCTTTACCTTTGATTTCCTCATTGTGGAAATATCAGTATAATGCTTTCCCATTCTTAGACTTCAGACTGTGGCTGATGTGTTTTGACCTCCATCTGACTGGCTAATGGAAAATATGGAAAAGAAAAACAAAAGGCATCTTTTTGTGCTAGTTTTGTTTTACTAGAACAGTAGTAGTAGATGCTGCTTTTGTTTTTCTTGTTACCACCTTTCATTGTCAAGCTGCTCTATCTGTGGTGCATGTGAGGCAAGTTCTTAGGGGAAATACTGTTGGCTTAAAAACATTGTGTCATCGTGTTGTTTCCCTCTGCTCCCCAGCCTTCTCCTCCTCAGAGTGTTTTCAACTCGAGTTGCCATTTTTGTCGTGGTCAATTTCCAGTGATGTACAGTTTTCCCCTCAGAGTCTATGAGAGACATGGAGTGCGTCTGTGTCCTGAGATGCTAGGCTCCTCTGTCATGTGATGAGTATATATTTTTAAAGAATAACCCCCATAGTTCAGATTATGAGCATAATAATAATCTTAAAATTTCCTGTTGATGATTGTGTTTTGTTTTGTTTGTTTGTTTGTTTTTTCCCCAGTTCAGCAGTGCACTGTTATGAAAACCATTTTGTTGGAGGGTTTCATTTTTTTGGACATGCTATTTGTGTTCTACATGTTGTACTGAAACATTTCAGAGAAACCAAGAGATCCCTCTCCTGCTAACTTTTTAAAAGTCATCTTATCCCGCCTGTCCTATCCTTTCTCCCTGTAAAAGTAGCTGTTATATGAAGTCGCCATGGAACCGCTCACTGCCTTAATACAGTTGACCACAGCAGGTGGAGTCTGGAGACAAACCCAGTCGAAATGAACAGGCCACAATCAAGGCTGCTCTGCAAAAAGCTCCTCACACCCCAACAGGCCTAAATCTGCTTGCAGTTCTTTATCAATGATGAACCACATTTGGTCTTGTGTAGACGGTGTTCGCCTCATTCTTCAAATATATAAATCCAGTGTGAGTTCTTTTTGTGCACTAATAATGTTTGTCTTATAGGTTTTAATAGTTCAGGGCAGCCTGGTTGTGTGTGTGCGTGCATGTGCATAGACTAATAGATAAGCACAGTGTGTATGCTCACAAAGCAACAGCTGATACTTCTCTCTTGGATGTGAGAATGCCCCACCACCACCACACCGGGGCTCTTAAAGCACCTTTCACAGCACAGCCAGAGCCTCAAATAGGCCGGGAAGAAGCTAACATAGCAGACACAGGTGTGGTCTGTCAAAAAAAAATAAAGGCAGAAAACTATGGTGAGAATAGGTCACTTTTTCTCTCTCAGGGTTCAAACGTACACATATCCTCCAGCAGTCGCCCGTTGTCATGTGTCCCTGGTTCCATGTTTTTCCACGCTCAGATTGCAGAACAGCCTCCTGCGTTGTTGGAAACCGCCCTCCCCTCCATTTCCCCCTTTGTGCACAGGTCTGAACTTTTTTCTGTTTTGCTTTCCTTTGGCACTGACATCTAACAAGGAATGAATGAATGTTTAGAAGTGACTGTGTGTAATGTTATAATTGGGAAATGTATTTTTACAACATGTGAACATGTTTTTTCCCCACTCGCTCTCATTGTGAATTGATTTTTTTTTTCTTTTCACCAGACTGCAAAAACAAACAAGCAAACAAAAAAACTCCTGTAACTAGGCTCTAAACTATTTTTGGTTTTGTTTACTTTTTTATTAGAAACAATCATGTTTGTGATGGTAACTTCCGATGGTAAACTCCACGCCGTATTTTAATAAAATCTTAAAAATGAAACATTTGCTCCCTCATTTTAACTTTACAAATAACGGCAGTTATTTACAGAGGGTCCTTTATACTGAAATTTAAGGTCTACATTTAATCATTTCATTTGAAAAAGTTTGTGCCTGATTAAAGTACCAGTTTGAGGACACGAGGCTGTGTTTACACAGCTTTTCCCATTAAAAAATTGTTTACTACCCTTTTGTCAGCCCTTTTACAGTATATGGCAATGAGGGGCAGAACGGGCACAGCTTTACAACTGGGGAGACTAGGTGGGTTGCACGGAAAAGGTGATCAACCTGAAAATTGTTGCCGCATAAGCATAACCAGCCTGCTCTTAAAATGGATTGAGTGAAGTGACTGAAAGCTGAGGGGCAGTCACTAGAGGTACCTTTTAGGACCCTGCTGGCTATAGGCCGGCACCCCAGGCAGCAGGGTCTTGTGGAGTCTGTTACAGAAAGTTAGAGGCTGATGGTGTTTTGATTTCCAGCATGCATCCAGTGATTATTTTTGGCCCTGTAACTGGCACGAATAGCACTATGTTGTGCTTTGCCAGTATCTTGGATATATACAGTCTCGTCAAGTGTTAAAATAGCACTTCACCGATTTAGCATTGCAATGTCAAACTTGCACTGGGCAGTTTAAAAAAAAAAAAAGTTGACCAATTTGTTGTCTTTACCAACTTTGACTCTACTGACATCACTTGAGGCAAGTTATCTGACTTCTCAAGGCTCATTAGCCAAAAATAATTTATTCAGCTTTTTGCTAATATACAGTAGTTGTCCAGTAGATGGGCGTTGATGTGTAAAATTGGTAGAGTTCTACTTATGACATATCGCTCTGGTTGCTTCTTTATTAAGGACAGTCTTTATGTAACAGTTTTGTTATTAATGTGATTTTTATACTATGTATCCTCACCAAAAATAAGCAATTGCGGTCATGCCAGTAGCTCTCACACTTCTAGTTGAGTGCAAACATTAAAATGCTCACTGTGCTAACATTTCTGATGTTTTGCATGTTAGCATGCTAATATTTGCACTAACATCAAGTACAGCTGAGGCTGACTGGAGTGTCGTTACTTTTCAATGTAACTGGTCGTCACCATCAACTTCAGGAAGTAAAGCCTAAGGACTCACCATGTTTATTACAATTCATCCCAATGCCTCAGGAATGTGTGTACCAAATTTTGTGTAATGGGTGTTGAGATACTGTATGTCACTCAAAGCAACACGTCATCTTCACTGTGGCAGCAGAGAAGAAGTCAGTGGATCTCAAAATCGATTAATCCTCTGGGAACCATGAACATGTCTACAAAATGGAAATCTTGACCAAAGTGGTCAAGATGAAAATAAAAACTGAGTTAACTTGTTGATTTTGTGTTACTGTTATCTAATTCTTTACATTTTTGTTCTTTGTGGACACTTGGAGCTGTAGTTACATGTTGTGTTGGCCAGTATCAACCTAGATAATGGACAGATCTGTTACATAACAGCATCCATTTGCAAGTGTGTGTAGCTGAAGGAGGCCCACGGTGTGAGCTGTGATTTTTACAGATTCACACACATTTCAAGCACACTTTGGCTCATTGTGTCCTAAGTTCCACTCAGGAATGTGCAGCAAATTGCAGCAGAGCATCATCCACCTCTCCCAGTGTCACACATTACCCCA